GATCCTCAGCAGAGGATGGGCTATCTGCACCCTTCTCAAGATCTTGTGGGTTGGGGCTGGGGATTTAGCTCAGCGGCACAGCACCTACCTGGCAAGCGCAAGGTTGTGAGTTCAATTCCCGGTACCGGAAAACAAAACAAAACAAAACAAAAAGATCTGTGGGCTGGTGGCCATTGTCTCATGCACTGTGTAGGATGGGTTTCCATGGAGTCAGAGCTAGGGACTTCCCCACCTCCGAGGCCTGTGGACTCAGGATCCTGGGCTAAGGGGCACCAGGAGGGAGCTCTGTCCTCGTGCAAGGACCCAGGAGCATTCCCCATACTCGTAGCTATTTCAGCACAGGGATGGGATGCACCTTCCCTGGGGACAGCAGGACATGGCCTATGGCAGCACTGATGTGCCCTGAATACTTACAGTGCTCCCTGAGTGTCGGGGAGGCCTGCTACCTGCAAGTCTCTTCTGTATACACTGAGGACCTGCTCTGAGAGTCCACCTGGAGGACCTCCACCTGCCCGCACTTAGCTGTCTGTGGCTCCCCTCTTGTGTCCCCCGGCTTTGGGGGGAGTAAGAGAGTCTGGGCATGCAGCCAGGAGGCTTGGGTTGAGGTCACCAGCCCCATTTCTGAGTTATGTGATATAGAAACTCAGGGTCTGGGCCAAGTTTCCCCCTGGGAAGGGGCTTCATAGTGCTGGCCTGGAAGGATGGCTCAGGAGGTTTACCAGATGACGTATGGACACGGCTCTGCCCATGCCAGCTTCCAGCCGGCTGCTCTCTAGGGCATACAGGCCTGGTCTCTACCTCAGTCTCCCCTCCTAAGAAGACTGGGGCTGGACTCCCTGCCTGACTTGAGTCTCCGGCAGCCCCTTCACCAACTCGTCCTGCCTCTCTGTAGTATGATCAATGTAATTGGTTTCTGAGTCCCCCCTCCCCCCGGATCCACAGGCAGCATAAAAAACGGGTGTCACAATGGAGGTGACATCCGAGTCAAATTAGTGTCAATATGACAATAAAATATACAGCTCAGAGGAAATATGGGCTGTATACAGACAGCATTTCAATCGGAAACATTTCCATCTTCTCAATGTGGTGGGGGTGAGGAGGGGAGGAGGTGGCTGCTGCAGTACTGTGGTTAAATCACCAATATTCAACAGTCTAACATGAGAAGATGCCATTTTAGGGCCTAGGTGACAACTAGTGAATTCTCTGCTCTCCACGGGGGATATCCTTGGATCCTAACTCATTCTCTGTCCCCTTCCCACATGGCTTTACTCTCTGGCCTTTTCCCTAAGTCAGGCCCTAAGCAACACGAGAAGATGGGCCTTCCCTGGCTACCAGGGGCTGGAGGGGGTGGGCCCACTCACGAGCCTGAATTTCCTTATCCTGCCACATTTGGCCTAGGGCCAGGGATAAGGTGCAGCCAGGTTTGGACCCAGTGTGCCCCTTCCCAGAGGCCTGGCCTGCCTTGCCTTTCCTCCATATTGTAGTGTTTCCCACATGTAGGGTATGTGCATGGGCCAGGGGAGATTATGGTAGGTTCCATGGAGATGAGATAGGACATCCTCCTCAGATACGATCAAGATTTCCATGTCAGCAGAAAATATAAAGTTCCATTTAAGGTCTATTTATTTAATCCAAAAAGGTAAGTCAGTTAAAATTATTAAGTATGCCATCATGTAAATGGCACTTGGCTGAGATAATAAACATGGTTGACACATGTGTCAAATGGGGACAAGGTGCTGCAAGACGATCCCCACCCGGTGTCCCTCTGCGCCTGCCTGGCTCACCTCCCTGCCTGGCTGGTCCTGTCTCTGTGCCTGTTACCCACTGAATGATTACATGTGTGTGGTGAGGCAGACAGAGGAGGTCTGTTCTCCTCAGCTTCCCATGAGCTCTCGCGGGCCCTTGTACCTGTGTAGAATTCACACATCAAGGCCGTGTCTATGGATGACTTGCTGGTATGAGTGTATACATCCTGAGAGACCCAGAAGCCTCCTGCAGGGGTTCTCTGGAGCCAGACAGCCAGCGACTTGTGATGGCTGGCTCCTTGCCTCTGGGAGAATGCTGAGCAAAAAGGAACTTGGTGGAAAGATCTGCTCCATCTCTACTGTAGGGACTGCATTTCCCAGAGGGACTCCACGGATCCACACCGCTGGGACCTGCTGAAAACACAGGCGTTGGCAGGGCTCATCTCGGCTCTGCTGGCTCAGGGTAGGATGCGGGTGGTGGTGGTGGGGGAGCCCAGGGGCGGGTCCACGCTCTGCCGGGCTTACACCTGGGCGGAGAGCACCAGCCCTGTGTTCGGCATCTCAGACGTGCCTCTGAGTGGCACATCTGTACAGGTATGGAACAGAGTGGAAATGTCTACAGTATTCTAAAAAGTGGGAACAAAGGTCTGGCTTGAACTTGTCTGAAAGGGGTTGGAGGTATAGCCCAGTGGTACAGCCCATGCTTAACATGCAGGGGCCCCTGGCTTCCCTCTCTAGCACCAAAAAAAGAAAGAGAAGGAAGAGAAGAAAAAAACCTGTTTCTGAAATAAAGTGCACTAAATAGTGACAAATGCAAATGATCGGAGATGCTCTGATCTTGGGTTATAATAGACTGGTAAACATAAAAACAGCCTGTTCTTGAAATTGTAGTTAAGGAAAAATCCCCACCCTCACCTCACGCCTGAGTTTGAGCAACTGATATCCACATTCAGGCCAAATCTGGAGTCTGGTGATGCTTAAGACGGAAGTGGGGAGAAAGAGGGTGGGGGTGTGATGAGTTACCCAGCAGCTGCTGACGTCAGCTGGGAGTTCTCCTGCCCACCCATGAGCTCACCTCCTGGCTTGCCCCTATGGCCTTGGCCTTCCTGTTGCTTGGAGATGCTCAGCCCCCCAGATGCTGCCCAGTGCGGAGCACCCTGGAGAACAAAGCTGCTCCCCAGCCCCTTTCCAGGCTGCCTGCCAGCCTGCAGCTGCTCTCCCACCAGAGCCATTTCTGCACTAATTAGTGTTCATCTTTCTATTCGAGTTCCTTTGTAACTGCCACTCACTCTCTCACCCTGCACACAGGAAGGGCCTGCCCCTGTCAGATGTGCCCCAACCCCGGGGCTTGCCATCTCATTACACAGAGGGGAAGCACTACACAGTTATGACTGGGGAGTCTTGGAGCCTACTGGTTACCCCCAGAGCCCTGGGACTCCATTCATGTGGTATCCTGGGAGAAGTCCTAGGCCACCATGTGGGAATTAGTGGCAAACCAGTGGGAACTGGTGCCGCAGGGTGGCGAGGTGTTTTGGGACCTCCAGTTCCCCATGGGAGGTAGCAGTGAGGCCAAGGGGACCTAAGTCCAGAGTGCCAAGATAAAAAGCAGAGCTGGGAAGGTGGCAAATAACTGGCTGGCAAGGGAATGGTGACAAACCACACTTGGCAGGCCTGAGGGACAGTGTAGATGGGGAAATGGTGAGGAAAAGATGGCCAAGGAGGGCCTCTGTCCTGGGCTTAAGCATCAGATGGACAGAGGTGCAGACAACAGAGACCCAGAATCCAGCAAGAGGAAAAGGGGGGTGGTTTTGAAAGGGAGAAAAGGACACTCGAAGAAAGAGACCAAAACTAGCATTAATTGAGCACCATCTCACCTTGGATGTCTCCTGTTTTGGGGAAACGGGACACCCAAAGGGGCACAAGGGCTACACCATTGGTTCCTATCAGTCTCATGTGGGCAGGACAGAGAAAGTAAAGCAGGATCCTGAGGAGGGAGCCAGCCCCCATAGCAGAAGAACAGAGACAGGGAAGGAAGAGGCATCAGCAGAGACATCCAAAGAAGACAAGATCTCGGCCCTGCTTGAGGGAAGTGAGGCAGAACAGCAGAAAGCTGGGAGCAGAGCTCAGAGCAGGGGCCCACCCTGAGTCCTGCAGACCTGCTTCCCACCAGAACTGTCCAACCCACCACAGTCTGCACAGGCCAGAGGGCCCAGTGCTGCCCCTTGGGAGGGATGGCCCACTGCAGGCCTGTGCTTCCTCCTGCCATGGGCCATTTGTGGGTGGAAAGGCTGCCCGGGCAGGGCTTGAGGAGATGCACACCTGCAGGCCAGCCTCTGGGCCGGCTGCACATCCAGGCACCTTTGGGCAGGACCTGGAGCAGCACCAATGGGAAGGGCAGCTGTGCATGGGGCGTTTGGCTGGAGGAAAGGAGTCCTAGGCACCCAAAACCTCATCTACCTAGGACACCCGACCTCCCTCCCTACCAAATAGGTGCTGTTTACAGCTGAGTCTTAAGTATTGACTGAGACTGCATCCTCCAACTGCCCAGACCCAAGACCCTGATATCAACCTCAGCTCTCTTCTTCCCCTTCAAGTTCCCATCTGACCTGGGAGCAGTCTTGTGCCTCCACCTTCGTCGTCTCCTGAAACACCACCAACTGTCAGATCTGCTAGCTGGACCCCCTGCTTCCTCCTTACCTGTAAATCAGTTCTCAGACTAGCAGAGAACAAGGTTCCTTTCAAGAATAAATCAGATCACTGCACTCCTCTGTGCATCCAGGCTTCTGCATGACTCGTCTCTTCTAATCACGAGCTGGAGTATTGTCTTTCTAATGAGGGTTTCGTTGATTTCCTTTTTCCAAGTTGTACTCCCAGTCCAGCCCGGTGCTCCACCCTCTGCCTGCTCCTTCATTCCCTATTCCGTGTATAACTGGCCGTTCTACTGCATCATTCCTAGTGCTGTGTGGTGTCTGTTCCCCCCCACAGCTTCCACAAAATCAGAGATGAATGTTTTGTTCATGGTGATGTACACAATGCTTAGTGTCCTTCCTGGTCCATACAACTCAGAAAGTGCTGTTGGGAGACGTGGGCCTCTATGGATGGCAATTTGGTGGGCACAGGGGGAAAGGTCTATCGCTCTTGTCACCAAGGGAACGGCGACTGCTCTTTACCTCCCCAAGGGGGTGCAAGTCAGCTCCCCTCCCTCTTGCTGCCCCAGGGTCTGGATGCTCACTACAGTATCACCCCAGCACTCACCATCCACCGGGTTGAGGTAGTCGTGGAGATGGGGTGCACCAGCAGCACTCCCACTCTGCACCAGCAGGTCCCCGTAGGGTGCGGGGTGGCCGGCCATGAGTGTCATCTGATGGTAATAGTCTGAGGGGTTGGTGCCTGGGGCAGCGAGGCCAAATAGGCCCCTTTCCTTCAGGTGCTCATGGGCCACTGTGGGACAGGGGAGAAAAAGAAGCTGTCAGAACCTGGCATCAGCTGCATCTTTCCTGACCAAGGAAAGAAAAGAGAAACACACAGCCACCTGACATCCCTCCTGCCCACTTGTGTGCCACTGTCGGCCGTGAGCTGGGCCCCATCTTGGCCAGCATAGGGGGCTGCTGCTGCTGCAAAGAGAGGCCAGGTCCAGCCTCAGAATGCCTCCGTCACCTTAGTCATAAATAATCTCTCCCTCCTCCCCACTAGAGCCCCAGGGTGACAAGGCCCAGGGCCCAGAACTCTTTAAAGGGAGAAGATAATGTGAAAGAAAGTGCCATGGTAGCCACCTGGGCCAGGTTGGCCTCTGCCAGAACATTCAGGATGAGGTGGGATGCTGGGAGTCCCTGGGCCTTGGCCAAAGCCTCCTGTCTCCCAGCACACAACCCAGGGTGGAAGAAAGGATTCAATGTCTCTGAGGGTCCTGGTACTGAGTACTGCTGTACCGGAGAAGGACTGGGAACTTAGCAACTAAACACATCCATGTAGAGTCCTGGCTTTTACTAGGTGTGCAAAACCAGAAGGTGCTATCTCAGTTTTCCATCTGTAAAATGGGAGTAAGAATGCCCCCTCTGAAAATTACTGTCAAATCCCAACTGCATTGCTCAGTATATGGCAAGCACTTACTTGTTGGGTGTGCAGCAGGCCGGTTCTGAGGGAAGGTCACATGCGTTTTGCAGTCTCACTGTGCCCACAGCACCAGAAGCTGGGAGCCACCCTTGCCATCCCCACAGAGCAGATGAGGTTAGGTTCCTTAGTGGTGGAGTGGCGCAACTGGACAGGACCTGTAGTTTGACTCTAGAGCCCGAATCCTAATCACTTCGTGCCATGGCCTCTCTGCTCTTAGAGCTGGCAGAGTGTGCCATCTTACGTGTATTTGTGGACAGATGAAAGAAGTAGATGCAAGGCGTTGCTCTCCTTTTCCTCCTCTTCCTCCTGCTCTGAATTCCAGCCAGGCTGCCCACCCTGGGTCTGCCTGCTCTGTCCATGCTTGAGCATTGCCTTGCTCATTCCCTCCCCAGAAGCCCTCCATGGAGGTCCCTCTTGTCCCCAGAATGCACATGGTCTGGCAAACACTGCCTGGGATTGCTTAGGAACTTCCTTTCCTGATAGGATTGCTCTGGGGCCCAGACACACCGGCTCTGGCCACTTAACAGCTTGGTTAGAGGCTGATGGAGCCTTGGGATATCTGGTCTACCTGTTGTGGGAGTTCGGGCCATGCAAATTAGCCAGGTGACTCTGGTGCTGAACCTGTCCCTTCTGTCTCACCAGGTGGGGCCAGGATGAGTGTTACAGGAACCACATTAGTGTTTAAGTTGAAATGAGGCATAATCAGACACTCCATCCAGGAAGGTCTCTCCTCCAAAGCACCCATCTCACCACCCATTTCTGCAGGGGCCACACTGCAATCCATGCAGTGATTCCTGAGTGTCTTAGGATACTCTTCCTTTCCTTCTGTGACACCTTTTAGAGCCCACTGTGACCCTGGCAAGGCTGCTGGCTTCTGCCTCTTAGGAACCCTGCTACCATGCATTAGTATCCAGAGGCTGTTACAACAAAAGGCACAAACTTGGTGCTAATTGTTAAAATAACAAAATTTTACTACCACGGCTCTGGACACACCGGCTCTGGCCACTTAATAGCTTAATAGCCACGAGTCCAAAATCAAGGTGTCAACAGGGCAGGCTCCTTCCAGAGGACCTAGGAGAACTTGTTTCTTGTTTCTTCCAGCCCCAGGTGGCTGCTGGCCTTCTTGGCTTGTGACCACATCATTCCCATCTCTGCTTCTGACTTTACATCATTATCTCCCATGTATCTCTTATAAGGACATTTGTCACTAGGGTGTGGTCCCAAGTAGATAATTGAAGATGATCTCTTCAGCTTAAGATTTCTAGTTTAATGATAATTTGGAAGACCTTTTTCTAAATGAGGTAAATGAGCCCCTTCATCCACGGGGCTGTGGATGAAGGTGTGGCTCCACCTTTGGGGACACCATTCAACGGCGGAGACAGCATCTGGAGCCTGACGTGAATCCTCATGGTGCCACCAGCCCATCCCTGGGTCATCAGGAGTGATGTGAGAACTGGGCTCTTTCTACAAGACAGCAACTCTGGTTAAGTCGCATCACTTTCAGGACCCCAGACCAGGTAAGGTCACTTAGGAGACCTGTATGGAGTTCAGGGCTGGAATTTAACTGCAAGGGGCCATTTCCCAATGGCACCACATTATGGTTGGTTATTTTTTTAGCCCTGTGGTCACAATCACTTGCCTGGTTTGCCTCTGGAGAAGATGAGGAAGAGTACAAACCTCCTTCCTCCTGGAGCCTAAGCCTGATGCTTCAGGGAGCGTTTTATTTTCACATTTGGAAGCCAGAAGCCCCTTGCACTGTGGAACTCCAGCTGGCACCTTCTCAGAGCCAAGCTGAAGTTTCAGGTCCAGGTCACAGCTGCAGGTCACTGCCAGGTGGGAGGGCCACATTTCTTTAGAATTGAATGACAGTAATAAGGAGGGGTTGGCTGGGACCATGTTTCTCAGAGCCTCTGCCCACGGGCTCACAGTGTACTCTGCAAATGTCTTCCAGCTTGGAAGCGACCATGGCTTAGAGGTGAAGTCTCAGCAGTGCATGTTTTAAGGGGATGCAGCTTGGTTGCTTTCAAGGATGGGACCCATGAGAAGCTAACAGCCTGTCAGAGCAGCACTGCAGGGCAGTGGGTAGTGCCCATGCCATGCCAGGGCATGTGGAACACTTCAAGGAAGGCAGCATGGGCAGGGCCAGCTCTCAAATGTGCTCACTGCTGTCCAGTGTATGTGCACGTGTATGAGTCCATGTGTGTTTGCATGTGTGGGTTGGGGGAAAGAGGGTGGGAACCAGAAGTATTTTAGATCTGAAAAGCTTATCTGAATCATGGGATACTGCCCTGTCCTGACTTCTACTAATCAGACTAGGGGTGGCCAGCTGATTTCTGAGCTAAGCCAACAAGTTCTGTCCCTCAAGCATCTGCACCCAGAGACACAAGTCACAAGTTCATGCCTAGAGTGTCAGGGGCTGGGCTGCCACCAGGAGGCCACCTGAGCTGACCTGCAAGGGGCCCAGAAAACAGAAAACAGCACCAGCCAGAGCTACCTTCCTCCTGCTCTAGGACCCTGTGAGATACCAGTTACACAGCACTGCTGCCCTTCATACCAGCTCCTGCAGACTCCAGTTTATTTTAGCCAGTGGTTCCCACTAGGACAGAACCTACCTGAATAGACCTTCACCTTTCCAGTAAAGCACACAGGTCTTTGTAATAAGCACAACACCCAAGGAACTCCCAAGTCTCTCAGCTGTCACCATTTATCTCCTGAAAATCTGTGTTCAGAAGCAGTGGGAAGGAAAACCAGCCTGGTCACTGTCCCGGAGGACAGAGACTGGGGTAAGCCCGATGCCCCTTCAGAATCCCTTCCCGGCCCCAGGCCCTTCTCACCATCGGTGGGGCTGAGACCCCTGGCTGCAGAGATCATGGAGAGCGTGGGGCTGCTGTGCACAGACCGGAGGTAGTGCTCCATGTGGGGGTTCACATAGGGGTGGGGGGCGTTGAATGGGGACTCCCCAGGGCCAGCAGGGTGCGGGGAAAGCCGGATCAAGGAGATGTCCGAGATGACGGGGCTGCCGCTCAGAGTAGCCGGCCTGTGGGGATAAAGAGCAGCGGTCAGGAAGGCGATGTACAGGGGCTCCAAGAACTCAAGAACCACAAACCAACACAAGTAGACCTTGATTCTCTAGAAGACTTGCCGCAGAATCTTGCACCTTTTATTTTCTACACTAAGCCTTGTCTCAAATGCTCACCAGCAGGGATGCACAGGGCTTGTTTCTGTGGCCTGTGCCGGCTGCTGCTAAACTCTATGCCCCTTGGCCAGCCCTTGAGGAGGTTCTGGCTTCACTCAATGTGATGATGAGGCTTTTTGCCCCCTACCTGCTGGCCCAGGGCCTTCAAGCACCCTATCTGGGTATTTCAGGGTCATCTACTCCAAAATATATCCCCTTCAGACAAATCAGACTTTACTAAGTCACTGGGTGCCACATATACCAAGATCTCAGCTTCAGTTTTTCAGAAAATAGGGAATCTTCATGGTTTGACACAATACAAAGGATATGTGCGAGAATCTGACAAATCTAGATTAGAATTACAGCCGAATCACACTGAACAAATAATTTAGCCTAAATTTCCATACCTGTAAAATGGGACAATAATGTGTCTATTGTATAGTTTTCCAAAGATGAAAGTTCCCTAAACTGTGCCTGACTCTCACTAGGTAGGCTACATAAGACAGCTGGCACTGCAGTATTACTGCCACACCTAGGACAAACCCAGAAGTGCCCAGGAAGCCTGCATATCTGCCCACAGGGAAGATGGTGCATGTGTGAAAGGCATGGTGACAATCAGTTACTCTGGGTAGAGAATGATTGTTCTGAAGGCTGAGCAAACCAGAGATAATTACTGATTTTATATTCAGCAGTGTGTGGAAACTGGGCTTACGATGCTGTACAAGCCAAGCCCCAAACAGGTGACATCCAGATGTCTTCACATCTGGGTTTCACAAACTTCCCACTTGGAGGCTACTCTTCAGGGCGTGGAGGTAAATACTCTACTCTACTACAGATGTGACTGCACTGGACTTGAAGATCTGGGGATCCTGCCAACCTTTTGTCAGCTTCTGTGCTTTGGCCCATGCCAATCCTGGGATGCAAATGCCTTCCTCCTTCTCATCCCTACAGCCCAGTAGAGGAATCCTGGGCGACTTTCCCCTACAGCCCCTTTCCCTGGCTTGCACCCCTCTCTTTGCTTTCCCAGGGTGCCCTGTTTCGGTCTCAGGTTGGTGGGTCCATCTCCCATCTCCCAGGGTGAAGAGGTTCTTCTGGGAGCAGGGCATGTCCGGGCACTGATGCACACTCAGCACTGGGCACACAGCTGGCACACTAAGCACTCAGAGTCTTTCCAGAATCACTGACAGGAGCAAGTTTGTGTGTCAAGCACCAAAGTTGGCAGAAAGGAGCCTGGGAAATAAAGCAAGAGCCACCACTTCCTCTAGCTGTTCTCACTCTCAGGCCACTCTAGAAGCAGAGCCACCTGCAAGAAATCATCACTAAGTGGGAGGCTGAAGAGATGGCTTTGTTCTGGGGAGGCGCTGTGTCCCCGAGGAGGAGGAGGAGGAAAAACAGAACAGACTGATGTACCCTTTGGCCAAAGGTGCCTTCTGTGGGCTCTGGTGTGTGACCACAGCACTTTGCAGGATATAGGATTTTGGTAAAAGACTGAGGAAAATGTCACTCCACCCTCCTGGCTCCCAGGAGTGGGGCATGCAGCTGAAGGAGATGCACCTGGAAGGCTGGGTGTGGCACAGTGACAGGCAGGTGTCCATGGGCCAGAGGACAGCTCCTGCACCTCCTGTTCCCCTTCCCCTGGATCTCCCAGAGACCTGTCAGGCAGGGCAGATTCCTAGAGCCTGCAGTGGCTGGAAGTGGGGAGCAGCCTGTGGTCACTGAAGCAGGTGGCCCTAGGGGGCTTGCCCAGGTCCCAAAGCAGAAACACCACCTCTCTGGCCCTTGCATTTCACTCCCCAGGGTGGCAGTCTCCGCTGAGGTCTCTGCCACAGCCAGCAGTCACATGGCGCTTTCCAGCAATACACACGTGGCGGCCCTAGTGAGTCTGTCTGGGGTGACCGAGATCCCTCTGGCCAGATTACCCTCGGCCCAGGACAAGGCAGGAGTGAGGGGGTGTCATGGCTGTATGGGGCTGCCCCAGAAGTGGCACCTGTTCCTCATGCACAGGAACTTGGATTTCTGTCTCCACAGAGTAGGTGCTACCTTTGGAGGAAGGTGAGCTCTGCCTCCTGTTTTCTTGCCTGCCATCGCCAAGGGTGCAGGGCCCCAGGTTTCTCATGGGCCACTGTTCTCCCTCTGCAGGCCTGGGCTTATGGGAACATCCCTCAGCTCCTTGGGGGATCCAAGCTCCCAGAGCCAGGGCAGCCCCCACCCCCACCTCAGAAGCCCTGGCTGTGTGCCCACTGGGCAGGGCAAACAGTTGCTGTGCCAGCAATGGTGCCAGGCAGGGTCATGGCCCTGTGCTGCGCAGACAGGAGGTGCCAAGCAAGGGTCTCCCCGAGTCACCTCATTCCCAGGATGGCGCCCTTCATCCAGGGTGGCACTGCAGCAATGGGGACTCTCGCCTGGGCACGAAGCTCGGAGGGGCCACTGCCCAGCCCCAGAAGAGATGCCCCAAGGGGATCGCAGCACACACAGAGCAGATCTGGATTTGGGAGGATAGTCTGTAGGACCCGGAGCTTGGAAGCGGGGAGGCAGAGCCCTGCATCCGGGCACAGCTGGTCCCCTCAAGAGCTCCAGTTGTCTTGCTAGCGCCGATCCTGCCTACTTAGCTGAGTGGCCTCAGCCAGGCTGCTGACCTTCTCTGGTGCCTCGGGGTGATACAAAGAGACCAGTGCACACGGTAGCGGTTGACTCATGTTAATTTCCCTTCCAGAAACAAGTCAACTTGGAACAGGGAGCATCTGTTGACCTGGGGAATCAGGCGACCCAGTACCCAGAACAACAGGTCCATCCGTCAGTGCAGCCAAGAATGACTCTCTAGACACTTCCTCCAGGAAATCTTCCTAGATGTCCCCTCTACATAGAGCCACTTAAATCACAGCTGTACCCCTGACCTGGTATCTCAACACAGGGCAAATGACATGTCAGCCATCAGAGGGCCATATGCATGTATTTCCTCTTCCAGTCCAAATGAAATTCCTGAAGTATGTACTTTCTGCTCATTTTACAGATGGCAACACACAGAAAGGCAAAGGCCCTTGGCCAGGATCACTCAGCCAGCAGGTGGAGGAGCCACACCCAACCCAGGTGAGACTGGGCTTGAGGTTGTGCCCTCAGTGGAGAAGCAGATGCTTTTGATGACTTTGGTTCCTCGTGAACCAAGCCTGGGCTGGAGGAAGGATGGGGCTGCGTGAAACACCTGAGAGCAGAACAGCTTTTATCTCACACTATTTCAGACCCTTTCATCTCCACCCCGACCCATGACTATACAGAGCCCCCTTCAGGAGGGCTGGGGACCTCTCCCTCACACTCACAGTGTGTTGTGCATGACTGACAGGGAGCCAGGGGCACACATGCTCCAAGACACTGTCACTCTGCCAGACCAAACAGACCCAAAGGAATGACTTTCAAATGGCAAAACTCCAGGGCTTATGAATGCACTGGAGGAACTGGGGAGCTTCCGGCAGTCCTGACCTCACACCAACAGTGCCAATCCATAAAAGAGGTCATTTGGACCTTCCAGGAGTACAGCTGGCTTTCTTAGCTGCTTGGCCCCACCCCAGGGTCCCCCTGAGAGCGCTGGGGCATGCTGGGTGCTGGAGGGCCAGTGAGCTTGCAGCGAGGAATTCATCAGCAGAGGCGTCTGCTGATGACGTCTGCACCCTGCTCCAGGCCAGGCCCAGCAGCCGCCTCCTTTCTCCTATTTCCACTCGGTTGGGCTGCAGGGCCCGCCCTGCATTCTGGCAGCTGGAAGAGACTCAAAGAAGCAGCCTTGAGCACAGGAGGAGAAACCAGACATCTGCGCTCAATGTAAAAGGTGACAAGTGTCACAGATACACAAGTGTGCCCACCCACACTGCACCAGGTGACAGCGGCCTCTGCGAGCCACCCTTACGCACTGCTCCAAGCTCCTCTGAGACTGCCCTTACCAATGGACCCAGCTTAATTTGTTCACTCTCCCAAGGAGGCCACCCTGAGCGCACACTCTGTGCACAGCAGCCTTCAGGGAGGTTAGAGCCCCCGTGGAAGAGGCAGACTGTGAGCCAGGTAAGCACAGGGCAGTGTGATAGGGGCTCCAGCATACAAACAATTCCCTTACTGTCCCTGATCCACAGTACTCCTTGCTTGCAGGCTGATGTTGTAAGATGAGATGAACCAAGTAAGGAAAGCGTGCATTGTAGCACAAGGTGCCTGGTAGGCAGAAGAAGGTTTCCTAAAGAAGATGAGTTCTGGTTGGGTCTTGAGGGATGAATAAGAGTTCGTGAGGAAATATACTATAAACAAAGGAGGCGGCATGTGCAAAGCAAGGCCGGAATATAAAGCTGTGTGTATGAAGGCTATGGCTCAGGCAGTTGGCAAATCCTACAGAGCACCATGGGCTGGATCTAGGGACCTACTTCTTACTTCTACTCTGAGCAGGAGGACGTGTGATCCAAGCCCAGGTGGGCACAGCACTCACCATGCTGGGTACCCTGACTGGTCCAGCAATGGGCATGTGCCCAAGGCAGCCACTCTGGCTGGAATCAGTGAGGAAGAAGGTCTCAGTGTTCACAAGGTGGCTAAGCTGGTAGGATGCAGACGTGGAGCTGCTGAGAGAGCCGAGGGTGGGCTGGAGAGAGAGTTGAGACGGGATGTTTCAACTTGAGCCTCTGGGTCCAGGTTCAGCTGTGTCTAAAGCCGGTACCCTGGCTTTTCCAGTTATCTGAGCTGAGAGCCAAGATGTGTGTGGCGTGAGCCACTTCAAACTGAGTTCTTCTGTCTTAGGCACCGGCCAGAGCTTGTTGGCTGGGCCTTGAATGTCATAGCGCACCCCTGCCCCGTGACCCCATGTGGCACCCTGCAAGCCAGACCTGAGCCCCAAT